GGAGGAGCTGGAGGAAGTGTCTGGAGAGAAGGAAGTCTGGGCATCTTTGCTTACACTGCTGCCCCCACGACCCGGTCCCGGATAAGAGGAGGAAACTGAATGGATGGATGGAGAACGTTTCCTAACTGCATATGACAAATACACACTTTGACCTTGACCTTTATAATAATCACTATAGAGCTCTATAGCCTTGCAGTCACCATAGTGATAATGACCACACCGATGATGTGGGCGATTATGCTATCAGCTGAAGTATAAACCAATGAATTGTGCACATGCTTCGCCATTTGTGTACATTATTTATTTGTAGCCCGTTTTTCTTCTGAAAACTTTCTGCTCTTTGCCGATGTCTGTGTTGGACTTGATGCACAGTTCATCTCTCATCCACCTGCTAGTGCAGCTCATTGTGGGCTAATGTTACTGGTAGCCTACAACTTAAAGAAGGACTGACGGTGGGTTTCAGCCACTACTAACTTCAAACTGGGACTGCACTAGAAGTGAGCAGTGCGTTAAGTGTTTGATCCGTTCAGTCCACCCCAACTCTGACCTCCGTGCAGCATCTCGTCAGAACAGATGTCTGTCAGCAGGGGGACAGTGCAGTCTTCACCAGGTCGACTGACTGCAAAAATGTACCAGACAAAAAGTTTCCATGGTGGCTCCTCTGCAAGAATTCTGCAGCATTTACATGTATGGATCTATTAAATTTCATTTATTTTCCCACCTTGTTACAAAAGACAGGGGGAAAGTACAACCAGGAAGCTCACAGTGACACCAGGAGCCTGATCCACCAGAAAAGATTCAAGGAAAATGTTTCCAACACAAACTATCAGGTGACCTGCCTGGTTGAAGCAGCTGTCTCTGGCGATTACACTTCAACTGCACCAAAGGAAAAAATAAACTGGAAGTGTAAACAAGGGGTCCAAGGATGACACCTGTCTCGGGCTCAGTGTGGATCAACACATTTGATTGATTTAATGTGACCTGGTACCTTATAAGTAGCAAAAGTTAATGCACAGATTAACCAGTTAAAATGATTAGTTTAGCTTTGCGTTGTGGTGAACATTTTCGATTATTCAATTATCTATTGAAAAATAATAGGTGAAGCTATTTTTTAATAATCGATCATTTGTCATTTATCAAGCAGCTTTTGCAGGATTTAACAGAAACGGGTTTACTGCTTTTGATGGTCTTATACGATGAGAGAAATTTTAACTTTTGTAAATGTATTGTAAGACTTTTAATAAGTCTTAAGGTCTATGAAGAGTTCTCCAGAGCCGCAGATGCCCTGACAGTGTTACTGGGGTTTCTCGCTGTCTGATCATTGCTCGGGATGTCTCCGACACTTCCTGTGCCAGGACACACACTGACGGTGGTTTCATCGTAAATCCGTAGACCACACCTGCATGAAGACCCAGTGTTCCCATTGTGTCTCAGGTGTTTCACAGGACAACTAACGGACCCAGTCTGAGCTAACCGCTAATCTGCGCCCTGCCCACCACCATCATGTTTAATGAAGGCACACGTGCATGGATGAGCCACAGTCCTCACAGTCAGCACAGGAACACCTTTCTACCCGAGCCCAGCCCGTTTTCTATTAAATGAATAATTTAAGAGAACGTGCAGCGGTTCTTCCCTGCAGCTGCCCGTTCATTTCACTAGCTAGCCTGACGTTAGTTGTCAAGGATTCTTTCAAGCAGATATCTCAACTCACTTAAAACAACTGAGAATCTGTGACTTAGTTTTAACTATCGCTAAATAAAGCCGCAAAACGTATGATGCTGAAGCGACAACACAACACACGGGCGCATGACGTTAGCAACTCCGCAGCTAGCCGTTAGCTTAGCCGTCCTCTGCTAGCGAGGCCTTAGGAGGTTAGCTAGCTGCTGTTAACTACTCAAGACCACAGCAGCCAAAATAACAGCTGCTGCACAACCATCTGCTTATATTTAAGTATAAAATGAGTTACTTTGCATTGGTGTCTCACCTTTTCCTTCTTGGGTTTGTTCGGCATCTTGACTGTGTTTCAGAGTTGTTTCTACACGGAGATTCCGTGATGTTCTTCCTCGGGACCCAGACGCTGTCACTAGGTCTGTCTCAGCTCACTGCGCCCGTTCATGGCCCGGCCAATTCGATTGGTTGTAGATGTAACTATCTGCCTAGCGACGCACGGAGAGATTTTTCTGATTGGGTGTGTCTGTTCAGAGCAGAAGGAGATGCTTGCAGGGACGAGGCAGGAGTCCAGTCTTCCCCAGCAACAAAACACCTCCAACCTGATGATACTCACCTTTGTGCGACCACCGACACAGTTATAAATTCCTAGTTACATCTACTTTTAAACATATATCCACATATTTAATCTTATAGTCAGGCTGGAGATTTAGCCAGCACAGCATTAAGCTTACAAGTAACAGGACCAAAATGGAAAGGTCATCCTCACCAAAAAGTAAATAGAACTTTTAATAATAATAATCACCTTTATTTGGCCAAGTATGTTACACACAAGGAATTTGTTTCCAGTACAGAACCGAGGCAGCCATCTGCGGCGCCAACTCAACCAATGGCTCTAACCATTGGGGGTAACTTGGGGGTTCAGTGTCTTGCCCAAGGACACCTCGACATGTGGACTGCCAGCACTGAGATTTGAACCTCAAACCCTCTGGTTAGGAGACGGTGGCTCTACCCACTGAATCAGTCGCCCCAAAACAACAAAATATGTTTAAAAACTATAGAATATGTATTACAGTTGTAATAGGTGCAAAATAAAACCAAATGTTAAAAACAAAAATCTAAGGTCACACATACTTCTTCCAAATTTCACTTAGGTCATAGCTCAGTAATCAATTGGCTTTAATACACATAAACAAGCCATATCATATGCCCATTTCTTGGGCAAAATACACTCACAGACCACTTTATTAGGTACAGCTGTACAATTAAATGCACGTCAGTGCAACACGCCGGCCCTAACATCTGTTTATTAAGTTGAAAATGTTTCCGTTTTTTGGTGAAACTGTCATAAATGTATAAATTCTATACGTTTATTACTGAGGACACAGTTAAAGGTGGTGTTGTACTGGACTACATTATATTCAGAGGTGTTTGTATATTTTTGTCCTCCCCAGCTACATACGTCAGAATATTAGGAACACCTCTGAAAATACAGTGAGTACAGAAAGTATTCAGACCCCCTTAAATTTTTCACTCTTTGTTATATTGCAGCCATATGCTAAAATCATTTAAGTTCATTTTTTTCCTCATTAATGTACACACAGCACCCCATATTGACAGAAAAACACA